TATTAGCACCCTCTGTTTTTTCAAACCCGTGAAAAACTCAATATTTTAACGGGCCGTCACGTAACCGTTAATAACCGTTAAAAAATGTAACACGTTGCACTTGAAAATTGACTTGGACATTATTTGACGTTATCTATCCAATTTAGAATAGTTGTCTACACAAGTGTATTACGTGGCACCCTTTTTGATGATATAGCATAATTTTTTGCACACATGGACGTTACATGTGCAGTGGGTCCCACTCCTAGAGGGATTTTTCTCGCTTTACCCTGCATTCCCACCAAAAAAAAAACCTAAAACAAAGAGCATTTAAAATGGATCTACAACAGTGGATGCCATGTTGACATTATCTGGCGTTATTAATCCAACGTGGACGTTTTTTAGATGATGTGGCATAATTCTTTTTCTTTTTTTTTTTTGTGAAAATGTGGCATAATGAGGACCACTGTTCTTCTTCCCCAATCTCAAAAACCTAGTTCTTCTTCTTCTTCTAGAGAAATCTTTCTCTGGTACAAAAGAATTAGGATTGCAGCTGATAAAACCATGGCATGTGTGATTGGGTCGAGAAGAACATGGACTAAGGTAGTGCTACGGACGATCAAGAACCAAAAGGGTAAGCGTTTGGCCAATTCGCTAAGGAGAAGCAACAGTATTCATGGCATGAAAAAGATGGTGGCAAAGGAAGAAGATGAGATCGATTATGAGCAAGAAAACGAGCTGGCAAGTTTCACGATTCCCTCACCATCCATTTCATGAATCCTCTTTGGATAACCTAGATTTGGGTCCATTTCCCCCTCACCATCCATTTCACGATCCAAGAAGACCCCAAACAAGTTTCAAGGTGACGAATCCTCACTATAACCTGGATCTGGGTTTGTTTCTCCTCAAGCTTGCTTGATACACGATTGCGATGGCTCCTTTCCTCCAAACCTCTTATCCGCCTTTGCTGATGGCTCCATCTCCATCATAGCACAGTGATCTCATTGGAAGCGATAGGAGCTTCCAACACTTTCCTGGTCTCAAGAAGCTTCTTAGCATTCTCAGCATTGATGTAGCCCTACTTCGTGAGCTCGATGTGATGCTTACGATCATGCTCAAGGATGTCCCTGTTGGGTTTCTTGGTGAGGTCGACAAATCCAATTCCATTGTACATTTGTTAAGGATTTGAGAAATCCTAGATCTGGAAACTGGGTTTTTGAGATTGGGGATGAAGTTCCTTGTTTTAGGATTTTTTTTTTTTTGGGGTTGGGATGCGAGACAAGCAGGAAAAATCCTGTTAACAGTGTTCCTACTGCACACGTGGCATCCAAGTGCATAAAAAATTATGCCACGTCATTAAAAAAAGTTCATGTTGGATAGATAACGGTAAATAATGTCCAAGTTAATTTTCAGGTGTCACGTATTACTTTTTTAACGGTTGTTAACGGTTATGTGACGGCCCGTTAAAATATTGAGTTTTTCACGGGTTTGAAAAAATAGAGGATGTTAATAGGGAGGAAAAATTTTAAAAGGTGTTGATCGTGAAAAACAAATAAATGAAGGGTGCAAATAGGGGCTTTTGCCTTTACAAAAAGGAGATATTACAAAAGTTGCAATTGTAATAATGATAATTAATTTACAAATATTTAAGATCTGTATTCTTGGTTATGTTTCACGCAATACAAATTTACACTTTGTTTGCGTCAAATCTTTTAAATTCAATTGTTAGCCACTTGTTTCTATTCTTTTTTTTTTTCTTATTGTAATTTTTTAAGTGGAATGAATCAAATAATATTAGTATCATTTTTTGAGAAATTTTTGATTAAATATATTTATTAAAGAGTGTAATTTATTAGCTATTTTATTTGAATGATAAATATTTAAAATGTAAACATATATAATTACACTAACTGTAGTGATATAATATTAAAATAAACTAGTTTATGATTATTTATTATTTTGTTTTTATAACAATTAAGAAGTTTAAATATATAAAGATTTTTTTTTTTAAACATGAATCTTTGCATTTCATATTAATGATTTAAAGCAATATGAGTTATATTAGGTTACAAAACAAATTATTTCACATCTTATAATATCAATTTAGGGCTTGTCTTATATCCTATGTAGTCTAGTTTTTTTTGGAAACTTTTTGGAAACTTGTGATGAGTCCACTAACTTTACTGAGATGACACTACATAATTTTGATTTTCTGTATAATTTTTGTAGTACTATACATATTTTTATCTTGTCATATATTAACTAATTTAAATTATTGTAATATATTATTATCATGTAATAGTTATTTTCTTGTTGTTTAAAGATTATTTGTAAACTCTCTTTTTTCTATATAAGTAGTGATTAATTTTTTATTTATTATTATCAACAATGGCTAGTCATAACATTCCTTCTCCAATTAGGTTTTTGAATCATGATTTTACTTTGTTTTCTAACAATAACAATAGTTACAAAAATAATCATATTTTTTCATGATAGTAAGCATTTTCAGTGATAAGTGATTTATAATCTTTTACTGATGGACGGAGTATCAAAAGGTTGCAATGTACTTGGAATTCCTTTTTGGTCTATTATAAAGATCTAAAGCCTCTAGATTATATTGATCAACTTTCTCTTGATAGTTTTCCAAATGTTGTAACAGCTAATTTTTAACCTATTCAATAATTATATGTTTTAATTGATTAATATGCCATTCACTACATTTTAGATGTAGAAATCATTTTCTAAATTTATGAAATAGTAAAAAGAGAAAAAAAAAATCTAATATCTTAAGCGGATATTGCAAAATTCATCTAAGTTTTTATGAACAAATATATACAGAAATTGATATATTTTTTCTAATAAGATTGTAAATTATAATATCAACAACAATAACTTATAAAATAGAGTAATAAACTATTCTAAAATGTTAATTTTTAAATCCATTAAGTAAACACTTTTCTTATGGAATCTTCTTGGCAAATAAACCATTAGATTTTTTTAAAAAGCGCTTTATCTATTTGATTAAACGATGCAACAAATCTTGCTCTCTTTCTTTATTACCAATAAGTCTTTTCATATTTATATCAATAGAATTTCACGTGAAATAACTCTTTGGATATTAAAAAAGATAAATCTGTTGTAACCCAAATGATGTTCAATAAAAACCATATTAAATCTTCTACGAGGCATATGGAGCATACTACTAGCCAACATAGTTCTATATTTGGTTAAATACCCTTTTTGGTCCCTCTACTATAAGAAAAAGCCCCTTTTTGGTCCCTGTACCGAAAAAATCCCCTTTTTGATCCCTAAATTTTAAAATCCGGCCCCTTTTTAGTCCCTCCGTCAAATGTTGCTCGCGTGTCACGTTAACTTAACTGGAACAGCTGATGTGGGTATGCCAACATGTTAAAAATGCTTACGTGGACTTCTGACATCTTCCATGTCACTCGCCACATCACTCTCCCGCACGCGAAAATGAAAAAAAACCATAAACAGTGGGACCCACATTCTAAAATACGCGGTAAATAAAAGTCGATTGTCCCTGAACCCTACCAGAACGTAACCCTAAATTCTCCAATTTTTTTTTTCCAGTTCCCTGTTCAGAAATCATCTTCTTGCTTTCGAAACTCTTGTTTTTTCGTTCAAAATGGAGGGTGGGCTTTCGCGAAGCAAATCGTTCACTGATTCTGCATAAACACAACAAAATGAAGTTATCACCAATTATGATGTTTATAACAACATAAACACAACAAAATGAAGTTATCACCTGCAATTTCAAACCCAAATATCAAACCAAACACAATCTGAACATGAAATTTTTGTTTCATT